GCTTCGGCGCTCGTCACAGCAACGACGACTCGGCGCAGACCCACAGCGACGACGCTTCGGCGCTCGTCACAGCGAGACGCTTCGGCGCGAGACACAGCGAGACACTTCGGCGCTCGTCACAGCGACGCCGCTTCGGCGCGGACCCACAACGACGCTTCGGCGCTCGCCACAGCAACGCTTCGGCGCTCGTCACAGCACGACGCTTTCGGCGGCGCTCACCACAGCGACGACGCTTCGGCGACGCGAGACACAGCACGACGCTTCGGCGACGCGAGACACAGCGACGCTTCGGCGCAGACCCACAGCGAGACGCTTCGGCGACGCTCGCCACAGCAACGACGAGGCGACGCTCGCCACGACGACGCTTCGGCGCCGTCGCCACAGCGACGCTTCGGCGACGCTCGCCACAGCGACGACGTCTCGGCGCTCGCCACAGCGACGACGCTTCGGCGCTCGCCACAGCGACGACGCTTCGGTGCAGACCCACAGCGCGATGAGGCGACGCGAGACACAGCGACGCTTCGGCGCTCGCCACAGCGCCGACGCTTCGGCGCGAGCCACGACGAGGACGAGGCGCGGACCCACAACGAGAACGAGGCGACGCTCGCCACAACGAGGACGAGGCGCGAGACACAACGAGGATGAGCCGAGCTCGACACAACGACGCTTCGGCGCTCGACCACAGCACGACGCTTCGGCGCAGACCACGGCGACGACTCGGCGCTCGCCACAGCGCCGACGCTTCGGCAACGCTCGCCACAGCGAGGACGAGGCGCTCGTCACAGCAAGACGAGGCGCGAGACACAGCGACGCTTCGGTGCTCGACACAGCGACGACGCTTCGGTGCTCGTCACAGCACCAGCGACGCTTCGGCGCGGACCCACAGCGACGACGCTTCGGCGCGCGAGGCACAGCGACGACGACGCTTCGGCGCGAGACACAGCGACGACGCTTCGGCGCTCGCCACAGCGACGACTCAGCGCAGACCCACACCGACGCTTCGGCGCTCGCCACAGCGACGACGCTTCGGCGCTCGTCACAACGACGCTTCGGCGCGGACCCAAGCGACGCTTCGGCGACGCGAGACACAGCGAGACGCTTCGGTGCTCCCCACAGCGCCGCTTCGGCGCTCGCCACAGCACGACGCTTCGGTGCTCGACACAGCGACGACGCTTCGGCGACGCTCGACCACAGCGAGACGCTTCGGCGCTCGCCACAGCGAGACGCTTCGGCGGCGCTCGCCACAGCGAGACGCTTCGGCGGCGCTCGCCACAGCGAGACGCTTCGGCGGCGCTCGCCACAGCGAGACGCTTCGGCGGCGCTCGCCACAGCACGACGCTTCGGCGCTCGCCACAGCGACGCTTCGGCGCTCGCCACAGCGAGACGACGCTTCGGCGCTCCCCACATCGACGACACTTCGGCGCTCGCCACAGCGACGACGCTTCGGCGACGCTCGTCACAGCGCGACCCTTCGGCGCTCGCCACAGCGGCGACGCTTCGGCGCGAGACACAACGATGACGAGGCGCGGACCCACAGCGAGACGCTTCGGCGCTCGCCACAACGAGGATGAAGCGCGGACCCACAGCGACGACGCTTCGGCGGCGCGAGACACAGCGAGACGCTTCGGCGACGCGAGACACAGCGAGACGCTTCGGCGACGCTCGCCACAGCGAGACGAGGTGCTCGCCACAACGAGACGCTTCGGCGACGTGAGCCACAGCGACGACGCTTCGGCGCGCGAGACACAACGAGACGCTTCGGGGACGCTCGACACAACGAGACGAGGCGCTCGACACAGCGAGACGCTTCGGCGCGAGACACAACGACGCTTCGGCGACGCTCGCCACAGCGAGACGCTTTGGCGCGGACCCACAGCGAGACGCTTCGGCGACGCTCGCCACAGCGATGACGCTTCGGCGACGCTCGCCACAGCGATGACGCTTCGGCGCTCGCCACAGCGAGACGCTTCGGTGCTCGACCACAGCAAGACGCTTCGGCGCTCGACACAACGACGCTTCGGCGGCGCGAGACACAGCGCGACGCTTCGGCGACGCTCGCCACAGCGAGACGCTTCGGCGGCGCTCGACACAACGACGCTTCGGCGCTCGTCACAGCGCGACGCTTCGGCGCTCGACACAGCGAGACGCTTCGGCGCGAGACACAACGACGACTCGGCGCTCGACACAGCACGACGCTTCGGCGCTCGCCACAGCAAGGCGAGGAGCGGGCTACAGCACGACGACGAGGCGGCGCTCGCCACAACGACGCTTCGGCGCGGACCCACAGCGCCGACGACGCTTCGGCGCTCGCCACAGCACGACGCTTCGGCGCTCGACCACAGCGAGACGATTCGGCACTCGCCACAGCGACGACGCTTCGGCGACGCGAGACACAGCACGACGCTTCGGCGCTCGACACAGCGAGACGCTTCGGCGCTCGCCACAGCGCTGACGCTTCGGCGCTCGCCACAGCGACGACGCTTCGGCGCTCGCCACAGCGACGCTTCGGCGACGCGAGACACAGCGAGACGCTTCGGCGACGCGAGACACAGCGCCGACGCTTCGGCGACGCGAGACACAGCGAGACGCTTCGGCGCAGACCACAGCGAGACGCTTCGGCGCTCGTCACAGCACCGACGCTTCGGCGACGCTCGCCACAGCGAGACGCTTCGGCGCGCTCGCCACAGCGAGACGCTTCGCCGCTCGTTGCCACAACGCCGACTCGGCGACGCGAGACACAGCGCAGACGCTTCGGCGCGAGACACAGCGCCGACTCGGCGCTCGACACAGCGAGACGCTTCGGCGACGCTCGCCACAGCACGACGCTTTCGGTGCTCGACACAGCGCGATGAGGCGCCACCCACGGCGCGGACCCACAGCGCGATGAGGCGAGGACGCTTCGGCGACGCTCGCCACAGCACGACGTCTCGGTGCTCGTCACAGCGCCGACGCTTCGGTGCTCACCACAGCGACGCTTCGGCGCTCGCCACAACGAGGATGAGGCGCAGACCACAGCACGACGCTTCGGCGCGGGCCACAGCACGACGCTTCGGCGCAGACCCACGGCGAGGACGAGGCGACGCGAGACACAGCGAGAATGAGAGATGCGCTCGCCAGAGCGAGGACGAGGAGCGGGCTACAGCGCGATGAGGCGCGGGCCACAGCAAGACGAGGCGCGGACCCACAACGACGGGAGGCGCTCGACACAGCGACACGAGACACAGCGAGGATGAGAGATGCCGAGCCCGAGCGGGAGAGGCAGAGCTGTGTGTCGAGCGGGAGAGGCAGAGCGGTGGTCGATGAGCTGGGTGGGTGTCGAGCGGGAGAGGCAGAGCTGTGTGTCGAGCGGGAGAGCAGAGATGCCGAGCCGAGCGGGAGAGCTGTGGTCGGTCGAGCGGGAGAGGCAGAGCTGTGTGTCGATGAGCTGGGTGGGTGGCCGGCGCTGAACTAGGAAGCTCACCTTCACCCTCCCTCCCGCCTCCCTCTCGCCGTCCTCTCACCCCTCTTCTTCCCTCCCCAGTCGCCCCTTGCTCACCCCTTACCCCGCCTCCCCCCCAGCCTTCTTTCCTCCCTCGTCGCCCCCCCCCTTGCCTCCTCCTCTCGCCTCCCTCACCCACTTCCCCTCCCTCGCCTCTCGCCCTCTCCACCCACTTCCTCCCTCCCCTTCGCCATCCCGTGCTCGCTTGCGCTCTTGCCGTCCTCCCCCTCACCCAACCCTCCTAGCCGTTCGCCGTCCTCCTAGCCGCCTCAGTGGCCTCCTGGCCTCCACCCCCTCACCCCTCCCCAGTTGCCCTCGCCCCCTTCCACCCCACCTCCTCTTCGCCTCCTGGCCTCCGGGCCATCTCACCCTCGCCCCTCACCTCGCCGCCCCCGCTTCCCCCTCCCCTCGCCTCCCCGCCTCTCACTCCCCTCGCCCCCAGCCTCCTCCTCTTCCCCCTAGCCTCCTTCCCTCTCCCACTCGGGGCCTCCCCAGTCGGCCCCCTGGCCTCCTCTCGCTTCTTCCCCGCCTCAGTGGTCGCCTCATCGCCATCTCTCCCTCTCCTCACCCCCTCACCCGCCTTTTGACCCCCTCTCCCCGCTCTCTGTCGCCCCCGCTCCGGTCGACCCGCCTCAGTGGTTGCCTCCCCCTCGCCATCCCGTGCTCGCTTGCGCTCGTCGCCCCCCCCCCCCCCCCCTCGCCATCCCGTGCTCGCTTGCTCGCCTCCCCGGTCGCATTCGCTCGCCTCTTGCCTCCCCCTCCCCCCCCTTGGTGGTGGGAAGAGCCTCCCCCTTCCCCCCCTCTCCCTTGCCCCTTGCCTCCCTCTCACCCTCGAGCCCTCGACCCCTCCTAGCCGTTCGCCGTCCTCCTCTGCGTCGCCTCCCCAGTCACCCCCCCCCCCCTTGGTGGTGGGAAGAGCCTCCCCCCTGGCCTCCTAGCCGTTCGCCCGCCTCAGTGGTTGCCTCCGCCTCGACCCCCCCTGGCCTCCGGGCCATTGCCTCACCCTCGCCTCCTCCCCTCGCCTCACCCCTCTCACGCCCTTCCCCTCTCACCTCTCCATCGCCTCTCACCTCTCCATCGCCTCGCCATCGCCCTCCTAGCCTCTTGCCACCCCTTCTCACTCTTCCCTGTCCTCCCTCACCCCTCTTCCCCTCTCACCCTCTCCCTCCTTCAGAGGGTGGAGAGAGAGGGGAGAGAGAGGGGGAGAGAAGGGGGCGATGTGAAGAGGGGGGACGATGTGAATGGGGGTGGCGATGTGAAGAGAGGGGTATGGAGAGGGGGGAGAGAAGGGGGAGAGAAAGGGGAGAGAGAGGGGGCGGGCGAAGAGGAGAAGAAGGTAGAAGGGGGGTGAAGAGAGAGGAGGGCGAAGAGAGGTGAGGAGGGGGTGAAGGATGAGAAGGGGGGGTGGAAAGGGGGGGTGAAGGGAGAGGGCGGGAGGGGTGAAGGGTGTGAAGAGGGGGCAAAGAGGGCGATGTGGAGGGAATCAGGGCGATGAAAAAAAAAGCACATCGCCCTGAAGAAATGACCACCGCAGGGGTCGAACCTGCAATCTCCTGATATACCGATACGTGTTCATCGTAGTCAGACGCGTTGCCATTACGCCAGGCGGCCATAGTGGAGAGGAGGCAGATGTGAAGTGAGAGCGGAAGGGAGTGTATGAGGGGGACTGGGTGGCAAAGGAGGCACTGGGTGGTAAAGGAGGGAGGAAGGGATGCCGACGGGGAAGGGGAGGATGGTGGGGTTGAAAAGAGAGAAGGGGAGGATGGAGGTCGAAATGGGAGGTGTGAAGGGGGAAGGGGGGAAGATACGGCGTGGACGTTGACGAGGATGTATGCGCGGTGTCTGTGTATGCGCGGTGTCTGTGTATGCGCGATGGACCGGCGTGATATATGCTCAATGGACCGGTGCGGTGTATGCGCTGGGGTACATAGCTAGGACACGGTTCGTACTGGGCTTGTGGATATCCCCGGACAGTGGTCGTGGAGATACGAGGAGGCCGGCGGCGAGCGAGTGAGGGACATCGTCAAGGGCGTTGGACGCGCGCACGCACCTTCAGCGAACAAGACTGCCCGATGCAGCGTACAATGAATTGTCCGATGTAGGGTTTGCGGAAGAGAGCGACCGAGACCGCGGATGCTGCGGTGGGGGGCATTGCAAATGTGTCCAGCGCCTGCGCCAGCGCGTCCATTGGCGGCTGCACAGCACGGCGTCCTGCTCCTGCCTTCCATCGTCCTCGCGCGCCCGAAGGTCAGTGATCACTGTGCTGCATCGGCACGACCTCGGGTCATCGGCGCGTCGGCGCGTCGAACCCGGCCACGCACGTGCGCGCGACGGCGACCAGGAGTCGACCTTCTTTTCCCGCCAGCTGTCTCTTTCTTCAGTCACCGACAGGCAGCGTTCGCGCACAAGACTTCGTTTTCACGGCGCCTTCTGCTTCCCTCGGTTCACTTCATTCGCTTTAAGGTGCGTGGGCGGAATCGACCAGGCTTGAGAATGGCGCGAACTTGGGAACAGCGCGAGCTTGCGAACGCACTGGCTTGGGAACGCACAGCCGTGGACTCCAAGCTCACCACCGTCACAGATGTTCACCTCCGTCAAGACTCTCACCCTCGCTCTTCCCCTCGCCGCGCTCCTCGCCGGCGTCGCCCGCGCAGACGACTCAGACTTCCGGGTGATCGTGCCCGGTGGTGATGACCTGTGGTGGGGTGCGTGCCCTCCCAATCCTCGTGGCCTGCCGCTGACCACGTCCCCCAGTCGCCCAGTCGACGAACAACATCATCTGGACCTGCGAGGACTCGCCATACTCCAACTTTAGCGTCTAGTGCGTGTCCTCTGCCTCCCATGTCACGTCCTCCGCTCTTCGCGTCACTTCACCCCCGTTGCCGTTCCATGTCGCCCGCGTCGCCTTTCCATGTCGCCCGCGTCCCCTTTCCATGTCATCCGCGTCGCCTTTCCACGTCATCCGCGTCGCCTTTCATGTCGTCCCCTCGCCCTCCACTCCTCCACCACCTCGCTCCCCCTCGCCCTTGATCTCGCTAACGCTCGCTCAGCCTCTCCAACACGGACGTCAACATCCTCTCCGGGCCCATTGGCATCATCGCCGTCCAGGAGAACTACGACTGCTCGAAGATGATCACCCAGCAGCAGGCCGCCCAGCCGGCGGGCAAGGGCTACAAGGTAAGGGTGGTGATTTTCCCCTACGCGGACCGTAACCCGGGGTGGTCCTGCCGACCGTAACCCGGTGTGGTCCTGCCGACCGCCATGAGGGTGTGGTCCTGCCGACCGTAACCCGGTGTGGTCCTGCCGACCGCCATGAGAGTGTGGTCCTGCCGACCGCCATGAGGGTGTGATCCTGCCAAACGCCAACCTGCTCTATCTCGATTACTCCTACTCACACACTCTCTCCCTCTACTCTCACTCACACTCACCCTACTCCAGGTCCTCCTCACCGACACGCTCAACTCGACCCACGTGTACGCCGAGTCGGAGGAGTTTGAGATCAAGGCGCTCGGCGCGACGTACCCGGACGCGAGTGCGACGCCGACGGGGCAGGCGACGGGTGAGTACAGAGTCTGTTGCTCGAGTCAGGCCTTCACTTTCGACTTTGTGGTTGCTATTGGGCTTCTCCTCTAAGACGTCGCTTTTCGACTTCGTCTCCTCGTTTCATCCCTCCTCCCCCTGCCCTCTTTTCCCCCGACTGACGGTCTCACGACCGTCTCCCCCCTCCCCACCTTTCGGTTTCGTCCCCCCCTTACGACTTCGTCGTCCCTCCTGCCTCGCTTCCCCCTTTTGACTCCATCGTCCTCCCTTTTTGACTCCATCGTCCTCGTCGCCTTTCGGTTTCATCGTCCTCCGCGCTTTCGGGTTCAATGTCACCGCTCTCGCTTTCGGCTTCGTCCTCCTCCCCCTTCGGACGTTGTCCCTGCCCCCCTTTTGACTTCGTCCCTCCCCTCCCTCCTCCCTCCTCCCTCCTCCCTCCTCCCTCCTCCCTCCTCCCTCCTCCCTCCTCCCTCCTCCCTCCTCCCTCCTCCCTCCTCCCCCTCCCCCCTCCCTCCTCCCTCCTCCCTCCTCCCTCCCCTCCTCCCTCCTCCCTCCTCCCTCCTCCCTCTCTCCCTCCTCCCCCTGCCCTTTTCTCCCCCGCTTCATGCCCTCCCCCCCCTCCTCCCTTTCGCCTCCCCTACAACCCCTTACTAACCACCCCCTTACACCTACAACCCCTTACTAACCACCACCCCCTCCCCTCAGACACCGCCGCCGCCGCCTCCGCGACCGTGTCCTCTTCGTCGGGATCGGGTGGGGATGGTGGCAGCAGTAGTGAGGGGAACGGGGCGGCGACTCTGTACGGGAGTGTCGTGGGTGTGGTGATGACGGGCGTGATAGGTGTCCTAACGGCGGGCCTGATGGGTGTTATGGGTGTGTTGGTTTGAAGCGGCCTACGTGTACCCTTACGGTGCATGACGTAGTCCTTACGGTGCACGATGTAGTCCTTACGGTGCACGATGTAGTCCTTACTGCGCACATCGCCCCCCTCCCTCCTACCTCCCCGCTCCCCCTCCTCCCCACTCCCCACGATCCAGTACTCCCCACGATCCAGTACTCCCCACGATCCAGTACTCTCCACCCACTCGCTACACACACACACGCTCGTTATATATCTATCTTCCCGGTGTTTTTCCTTCTTCTTCTGGATGGTAATGGTAATGGTTATCCCGGTGTCTTTCCTTTTCCTTCTTCTGGATGGATGGTAATGGTCGTGGTGTTTTGGTTGACTTGGGTTTATATGCGCTTGGCGGATTTATATGCACTGGGTAGGATTTATATGCGCTTGGCGGATTTATATGCGCTTGGTGGATTATGAGCGTGCGTGCGTGTGCAGGGGAGGATAGGGATGTACAAGTCGAGGTAGGGTCGGCGGGTGTTGGGCGAGTCGGCGGGTGTTGGGCGAGTCGGCGGGTGTTGGGCGAGTCGGCGGGTGTTGGGTGTTGGGCGAGTCAGCGTAGGTCGAGGTAGGGTCGGCGGGGATGCTCTTGGCGTTGGATGGGGATGTCCTTGGCGTGGGTCGTCGGGTGTGGATGCCCTAGACGTAGGTCGTCGGGTGTTGGGCGTTCGGGTGTGGATGCCCCCACGACGCCGCCTGGCGTAACAGCAATGCATGGCCGCCTGGCGTAAGGCCAACGCATGGCCGCCTGCCACTGTTCACGTTTTGTATTACCTGCCACCACCCACCCCCCATGGCCGCCTGGCGTAATGGCAACACATGGCCGCCTGCCACAGTCAGCCTTCCATGAGATCCTAGTATTGGCAATCTCTCTATGGCCGCCTGGCGTAATGGCATAATGGCCGCCTGGCGTAATGGCAACGCGTCTGACTACGATAGATGCAATTCAAAGGATTAAAAGTAATCAGGAGATTGCAGGTTCGACCCCTGCGGTGGTCATTCAATTCGGTATTGTGCATTTTTTTTTCGCATGTGTCTTTCTTGTTCGCATTTGCTCTTCGCCTTCGCCTCTCTTCCCTCTACCCTTCCCCATCTACCCCCTCGCACCCCCTCTCCTTTTGCACACCCCCCTCCTCTCTTTGCACCCCCTCTCCTCTCCTCCCCCTTCCCCTTCCTCTCCTTTTGCACCCCCTTTCGCCTCCCCCCCTCCCTCCTCCTCTCCTCTCAACCGCACCAAAGGGCGATGGGTACACCACAGCGAAGGACGAAGGCAACGCCGCACCAAAGGGCGAAGGCAACGCCGCAGCGAGGGCGAAGGCGACGGCGACGGCGACGGCTAGAGGGCGATGGCGAAGGGCTAGGGCCACGCCGCAGCGAGGACGAAGGCAACACCACAGCGAAGGCTACACCGCATCAGAGGGCGAACGGCGACGCCACATCGAGGACGAAAGCGACACCACATCGAAGGACGAAGGCAACGCCGAAGCGAAGGGCGAAGGCGACGCCGCATCGAGGACTAGCGGCGACGCCGCAGCGAGGACGAAGGCTACACCACATCGAGGACTAGCGGCCACGCCGCAGCGAGGACGAAGGCGAACGATGAGGCGAAGGACTCGAGGCGAAGGACGATGGCTACACCACATCGAGGACGAGGAGGCGACGCCGCAGCGAAGGGCGAAGGCGACGCCGCACCAAAGGGCGAAGGCGACGGCACGGGCGAAGGGCGATGGCGACGCCGCAGGGAGGGCGAAGGGGACTCCGCATCGAACGACGACGGCAACGCCGCAGCGAAGGACGATGGCAACACCACAGCGAAGGGCGATGGCGACGCCGCAGCGAGGACGAAGGCTAGTAGAGGGGCGAAGGCGTGGAAGAGGAGGCGACGAGGCGAAGGGCTAGCGGCGAAGGGCGAAGGCGCAGGAGACGAACGGCTAGAGGGCGAAGGCTAGGAGACGACCGTGACAGCGAGGACGGCGTGGAAGAGGAGGAGACGACGATGACGGCGAGGACGGCGTGGAAGAGGAGGCGACGGCGCAGCGAAGGACGATGGCTACAACATATCGAAAGACTAGCGGCGACGCCACATCGAGGACGAGGGGCGTGAGGCGATGGCGTCAGGAGGCGACAGCGGCTAGAGGGCGAAGGCGAAGGAGACGGCGTAGAAGAGGAGGCGACGCCGCAGCGAAGACGAAGGCGACGGCGCAGGAGGCGGCGTGGAAGAGGGAGACGACGGTGACGGCGAGGACGAAGGCCGGACGACGAGGAGGAGGCGACGGCGACAAAGGCTAGCGGCGAGGCGAAGGCGAAGGCCACGCCGCAGCGAAGGACGCCGCAGCGAAGGACGAAGGCGAAGGGCGAAGGGCGAAGGCGACGCCGCACCAAAGGACGACGGCGACACCACATCGAAGGACGAAGGCAACGCCGCAGCGAAAGACGAAGGGCGACACCGCAGCGAAGGGCGAAGGCGACGACGAGGCGAGGGCGACGCCGCATCGAGGACTAGCGGCGAACGCCGCATCGAAGGACTAGCGGCGATGGCTACACCACAGCGAAGGGCGAAGGAGACGCCGCATCGAAGGACGATGGCTACACCACAGCGACGGGCGAAGGCGAAGGCGACGACGGCGAGCAAGGGGAAGACGGGAGGCGAGGCTGGAGAGGACGGCGAGGAAGAGGAGGAGGCGACGAACGGCTAGAGGGCGAAGGCGAACGACTCGAGGCGAAGGCGAACGACGGCGACGGCGACGGCGTGAGGAGGCGACGGGGACGAACGACGAGGCGAAGGCGAGGAGGCGACGGTGACAGCGAAGGGCGATGACTACACACGGCGACCAGGCGAAGGACTAGTAGCGGCGAAGGACGAAGGCGACGCTGCAGCGAAGGCGTACGGGCGACTTCGCAGCGAAGGGCGAAGGCGACTCCGCAGCGAAGTGCGGAGGCCACGCCGCAGCGAAGGACGACGGTGACAGCGTGAGGAGGCGAACGACGAGGCCGCACCAAAGGACGAAGGCAACGCCACAGGGAGGACGAAGGGCGACACCACAGCGAGGCGAAGGGCGAAGGCTACACCACAGCGAGGACTAGCGGCGAACGCCGCAGCGAAGGGCGAAGGCGCAGGAGACGCCGCATCGACCAACGAGGACGAACGGCCACGCCGCAGCGGGGACGATGGCTACGCCGCAGCGAAGGGCGATGGCGACGAGGGGCGAAGGCGCAGGAGGCGACGCCGCAGCGAGGGCGAAGGCCACGCCGCAGCGAAGGCGAAGGCGAACGACGCAGCGAAGGCGACGCCGCATCGAAGGACTCGAGGCGAAGGCGAAGGACGAAGGCCACGCCGCAGCGAAGGCCGGACGCCGCACCAAAGGGCGAAGGCTCAGGAGACGAACGGCTACGCCACAGCGAAGGGCGATGGCGAGGACGGCGCAGGAGGCGAGGGCGGCTAGAGGGCGAGGGCGGCTAGAGGGCGATGGCGACGCCGCAGCGAAGGCGACGCCGCAGCGAAGGCGACGCCGCAGCGAAGGACGAAGGCCACGCCGCAGGAGACGATGGTGACGCATCGAAGGGCGAAGGCGACGCCGCATCGAGGGCGAAGGCGGCTCCGCACCTCATCATCGGCGCTGACCACCCTACCAGCTCATCATCGGCGCTGACCACAGCTCAACCTCTCCACCCGGCTCGACCTCTCCACCCGGCTCGGCACTCACTCGTCGTCTTCATTGTCGTGCCTTGGGTCGCGCCTCGTCGCCGCTGTGGCGATCTCTCCTCCTCGTCGCTGGTGCGGTGGCGATCTCTCCTTGTCGTCGCTGGTGCGGTGGCGATCTCTCCTCCTCGTCGTGCCGCACTGCGGCGCGCTCTCGTCAGGGCCGCCTGTCGGCGCTGCGGCGCGCGAGTCTCCGCGTCGCCATCATGCTGCAGTGCCTCTCCTCCTCGTCGCTGTGCTGCCGTGGCGAGCTCCCCGTCGTGCTGTGGCGAGCTCTCCACGCCATCGTCGCTGCTGCAGCGAGCTCTCCCTCCTCGTCGAGTTGTTGTGGCGAGTCTCCTCTGTCGTCGCTGCTGCAGCTCTCCTCCTCCCCACCGTGCCTCGGCGAGCTCTCCTCGCTGTCTGTGCTACGGTGGCAAGTCTCATCGCCATCGCAGTGCTGCTGCGGACTCGCCTCATCGCCGTCGTGGCTGCGATGGCGAGCTCTCCCCGTCATCGCTGTGGCGAGCTCTCCCCTTCGAGTCGCTGTGAGTGACGAGCTCTCCTCCGTCGGCGCTGCTGTAGCGAGCTCTCCGTCGTGCTGCTGTAGCGAACTCTCCCCTTTGAGTCGCTGTGAGTGGCGAGTCTCCGCGTCGTCGGAGCTGCTGTAGCGAGCTCTCCTCGCTGTCGTGCTGTCCTCGTCGTCGTCGCTGGTGCGGTGGCAATCTCTCCTTGTCGTCGCTGGTCCGCACTGCGGCGCGCTCTCCTCAGGGCTGCCTGTCGGCGCTGCGGCGCGCTCTCCTCAGGCCCCATGCGCCGTCGTCTACCTCATGCGCCGTCGGCCGCCTCATGTGCCGTCGTCTACCTCACGCGCCGTCGGCCACCTCACGCGCCGTCGGCCGCCCCATGCACCGTCGGCCGCCTCATGCGCCGTCGGCCACCTCACGCGCTGTCGGCTCCGGGCTGCCCCATGCGCGTTATGCTCAATCTGCAAGAGCAGTCCAGCGCGCGGCTCTCGACGGCGGCGGATCTAACCACATTCGCGATAGCCGAGTCAAACATATTGAAGTCGAACGAGAGATAGATGATTGACTGAACTAAAACAGTATTCCCTGCTTACGCATCCTGGAGGTTGGCACGCTGCCGAAAGGACGTGGGCACGTCATGCGCTTCTTTCGCAGCCCCGTCCTGGAGGAAATCAGGATATCCAGTCATTACCCGACCGATGTCGAGGAGGGGCTCGAGGCGTTGCTCGACGCGGAGCCGGCTTTGGGAGAGAAACTGCAGCGCCTGCATGCTCCGCCAGTGTCCGAGCGTCTTTTAGCGCGTTTCAAGAACATACATTTTGTGGCACGGCCGAAGCGAGCGGTTTCGTGGGAGGCGTGATGATCTCTCTGTACGTCTTGGAAGGGTTATTGTGGTCATTTAAACGTAGCGCGAAGAGGACCGTCGGTTTCACCGTCAGTCCACACTGCATGTATTGTACTCGTATACAGAGAGCAAGTATTTTCACTTGAAGTATACACCTCCTCGGATGATGTAGTCCGAATGGGCGAAGCGTGCCGCCGGGAAGATGCCCTTCAGGAAAGCGACGGCCGCGTCCTTCTCTGGACCCTCTTCTGCACACCATTTGGCACCTACATCTAAGCGCTAGTGTTCTCACCTCTCGTCGTCAGTGTCAGCTACTTCAGATCACCCAAATCTAAGCAGATACAACGACTCTCGAGCAGCAGGCCGACTGCGGTCGACCCTTTGTCAACCATCTCCGGTGCGCTGCAAATCCCCCTCATCTGAACCGTCCGTTTCTCGCGAATCATATGTACCCGCGGGGCCCCGTGCCACTACGAAGGTTGACAACCGAGTGGCAGCCGTCACCTGAAGGCGAGCATTGGCTTCCTCGTGTAAATTGAGCATCAAACGCGAGACCAGACACACAGAGAGGCTGAGATACGCGGCGCGGTGTCAGCTGATATAAACATAATTTCCGGTGAGATTCACTCGCCTGCTGGTAGTTGTGGCCAGCGAGCCGCCTAGATACGGCTGTTGAGGATAGTGAATACCCAGCGCCAGCGCACGAAATGGAGATATAGGGAGACACACCCCTGGAGCCTAGAATGTGGCGCCCATCAATAAACACGATGAAGAGTAGCGAGGTCACGGTACTTACATAGTACGGGATCAAGTTCGCGATGTTGGATAGCAACATGACCCTGCGCAAGACATCAGGTCCACCAAATGGCCCATGTAGGGGTTTATGTACCCAAAGTACATCGCGCCTAGCCCGGGCCCACACGTCAGTCGCCTGTACAGGTTTGCCATC